GTGTGTGTGTGTGTGTGTGTGTGTGTGTGTGTGTGTGTGTGTGTGTGTGTATATATATATATATATAATGTTGTATTTGTGCTGATAAATAAATAAAGGGAGACTTCTATTGACAATAATTTTACATAAATTGTAAGTGAGGACTATGGAGAGGACAAAAGTTTGCACAAAAGTTTTGTACTCAAAGATAAACAATTTTACACAGAATACAATTTAAAGATATAATATTACTGGATGGTTTTGGGATGATGGGATGAAATGCCATAATACAAACGTATTCTAGACTTAGAATACTTCTCATAAAAGGAAGTAATGATTGTAGTAGTCAAATAAATGTTTAATAACGATAATAATTCCATCCATATATATATATATTGGATTGATAATATGAGGATTTCTATAAACTGTAAGTGATGACTCGTAAGGCGGCCCAGTAGTTTTGTAACCAACGGACCCACCGTATGTAACTGGGGAAGGGGCTTTATGTTTTATGTTGGTCTATGTTTGAGTGTTTAAAAATAAAATAAACTGTCATTAAAAAATTAAAAAATAAAAAGAAATTTGGGGCTGAATTGTGGTCGTATGTCGAGGACTAGCTGGAACTAAGAAGCATTCCTCCGTTTCTTTTCCCCGCAGGGGCCTTAAGAGAACTTACCCCGGGACCCTGAGTGTAATCCTGAGTAGAAACCAACATCTGGACGGAAGGAGGCGAACCTAAGCCAGGACAAAGTGGAAGAAACAGCACCGTAATCATAAAACCTAGAATCTTAAGGCCGGAAGGGACCTTGGAGGTCATCTAGTCCAACCCCCCCTGCTCAAGGAGGAGACCCCGTGCCATTCTGGACAAGTGACCGTCCGGGGGGGAAACCTCCAGGGGTGAAGCTCCGTTTGACCGATCCACTGATCTGGGATTACAGGATAACAGAGCCGGGAGGGACCTTGGAGGTCATCTAGTCCAACCCCCCTGCTCGGGCAGGAAACTCTAAACCAGTGATGCCCACCCCCATAATTTAATCCCTCCCCCCCCCTTGCTGGCCCCACGCATGCGCGCAAGGCTTTCTAGGAGCCTGGGGAGGGCGGAAACGGCCTGCTCGAGCAGGGGGTTGGACTAGAAGACCTCGGAGGTCCCTTCCGGTTTCTGTTATTCCCACAGTCTAGGTGGGTTAGCATCTATTCAAACAACCCCACAAAGTATTTCCAGAAAAGGAGAGAAATAAAGCAAGAAGAGACTGCACTCTGGTGGCTGGAAACAAAATAAAATAATCTTGATTATTTGCCTCTCTTTCTCTCTCTTTTTTTAACTTCGGAAGCTTTTCAATCTAAGCTGCGGCTCTCGCTCCTTAAGCTGGAAGTCCTCGATTTATGACCAACAATGGAGGCCAAGATGTTTATGCTGACTGAGACATAAGCAATTGAAATTCAGTGATTGAGGGAGGGGGGGAAACATTGGAACTTCCAGACTGAGTTGTAACTCCCCCTTGGGGGGAGGTCCGTCATAACTTTGGATGGTCGTAAGTCAAGGACTGCCTGTTTCTGACACACACACCCCAAAAAAATGAAGTGCCACTTCAGCCTCGGAAGGGCTCCGGCGGCTGACCCCCCAAAGAAGGAGAACCACTCACCGGGCGATGCGAGGGGTGGGCTCTTGGGGGGCAGCGACGTGTCTTTCTTAACGCCCGGAGTTTTGGCTGCTGTTCCCAGTCGCTCCTCGGACTTGGTGAAGAAGTGAAAGGCGAGGGTGCCCGACTCAACCTGCTTCACCTGCAATTTTAATTCATTTTTTTCAAAAAAATCAGATTATCTTCCTCACCTGGCCCGATGTACCTGTGCCAGGTGAGAGTACAAGGGCCCCACCCACCCCCCGAAAAAGTTTGCCAAAGCAATTCCAGTTCTTCCCCAATAATAATGAATTTCTAAGAGCCAGGTGCTCCAACCTTTAAGCCTGGAGGACTCCAACTCCCAGAATTCCTCAGCCGGCAAAGCTTTAAGCCTGGAGGACTCCAACTCCCAGAATTCCTCAGCCGGCAAAGCTTTAAGCCTGGAGGACTTCAACTCCCAGAATTCCTCAGCCGGCAAAGCTTTAAGCCTGGAGGACTTCAACTCCCAGAATTCCTCAGCCGGCAA